CAGCTTGATTTGTCCTTTTTGTTCATCAAGCTGAGATTAATGTTTGGAATTGGAATTAGGTCGCATCGTGTATAACGCCTATGTCATAAATTGTTTTCAGAACACCCGCAAAAATAATTTGTTTTCAGAAATGTTGTCAATGTTTTTCATAAACACGGTACAAACGCACATGCCGCTATATACTAACATGCGTCAAGAGTATAGTGTGTATTCATAGAACGATCGCACGTTTAAGAGGCAAGTAGTCCGCGTGAGGTTTGGCTTGTGGTTTCACCAAAAAATCAAGCGGCGTGTAATGAATATAAGTAGCGCATCTGCCGGATCTTTCCAAGAACAAAATTTCGCCACAGTGGATCTGCGATGCAGTCCGTCCCTTTCGTCTTTATTTCGTGACGTCTCAGCGTATGATAGTATCAGCACTGGTGTGTAGTAATATGATTATTTTATATATATATTTCCGATGCTTGTGCCCTACAATCGAAAAGGACGCGTACCAAACATTGGCATCATCATCAGTTGCAGGTCACCTTGGATGGAGATGACTTGACACGATTGAAAACCACTCAAATAATTTTTAAACTGAAACCGTGATTTTCTTTCATTTCTGGTAGATGACACCTGCAAGGTTGATTTTTCTCGTCATTTCCATAAATGGAAACGAAGCATCTCTCGTGTTTCTTCCCGGTTCGGCAGCTACCTCACCTTTTCTGTCCGGACGAGACTTGCCTGCTCCCCACACGTGTGTCCATCCGTACTCCCGCATACGTGACTTGATTTGATTAAAACAGAATAAGGCCCGGCCCCATCCCCTAAAATCAGGGGGGAGATGATTAGATTAGAAAGGAAAAAGGAAAAAGAACAGCCGTAGGATGAAGTGGGAGTACGGATGGGAGCATGGGGAGGGAGCAGGCAAGCCGAATCCTTTCTGTCCCTGCTATTTGTTTACCGGGCTGTAAAACATCCCTAAAAAAGGGGCTGTAAGAGCATCTTCAGCCACATGGGCGGCAGCTGCAGCTCCGCCTCCTTCGACTGCTCCGCTCCGCCTCCTCCCGTCCTCCTCCGACTGCTCCGCTCCGCCTCCTCCCGTCCTCCTCCGACTGCTCCGCTCCGCCTCCTCCCGTCCTCCGCCTCTATCTCCGCGTCGAGTTCGGTGAAGAGCGCGTCGGACTCTGCCTGCTCCCGCCGGAGGAACGCCCGGTTGGTCTTCAGATAGGCCTCGCCCTGGATGGACTACAGGATGGCCTGCTGCTCCGCCATCTCGTCGGACTGGGCGACGTCGAACTCCGTCTCCGCCTGCTCCATCTTGAAGGGCGACAC